AAATTAGTAGTCCACTGAAAGTTTTCTGGCAACCTTTTGGCGAACTACTTAATATTCTGGTGAATTCGCCGCAAAGTCGCCAAATGTTTGGCCACAGAGTTGCCACTAGTGGCGATATCTGGCAAACACTTGACACAGTGTTTTGGCGAACTAAAAGGTTTGCAGCGAATTTGCGGCAAAGTTGCGGCGAGTTTGCGGCAAACTTTTCCTTTTGGTACGGGGTGTGATTTTATTTCAGCAAGTCTACTGTATATCATGGTTTGTTTTTTTCACCTGAGCACAAAATGTTCAAGGTGAGCTTTTGTAATCACAATTTGTCCTGTGTCTATTGTCTGTCCTTGCGTCATTCAGATGGTTACAAAACTCTTAACTATTTTTATAAAATTTTAACAAAATTGTTTGTTTGTTTGTTTAGATATTGGTAGTTTATCAGGATGGCACATCAACTACAGTTAGAGAAGAAAAACTACAGACAGTGGGTAAAGGCTGGTTTAGGACTTGGATATTTAAAGGAGGGACTGGTACCATTCTGTAATGACATAGCTGACCAACAACATAAGGATATCTTACAGAACATTAGGTCTACAAAATCACTACCATCAAATGCGACGTGTGGCAGCTGTCGAGTTGATACTCTCAAGCCAGACCATAAGCCAGCAGGGACTGCTGGAAACAAATTTTGTCCTCTTGGGCAAGTAAGATGCAGCTGTTGCTTTACTAAGGGCAAAACTGCTTGTCCGAACAAAATATGTGGCGCCATCTATGACTATATTGTGCAACATCATGCATCTTCACCACCTTCACCTAACTGGAAAAACAGCGATGCTCAACAGTGGTCAGTATACCCTTGGAGCATTTGTAAATGTTTTATAAATGCTCCAGGGTACGAGCATAAGCAATCTGCTAGTGAAACTGATTGTACTGGGTTATTACACCTATTGATAAATAACCAGTATTTTCATAGCCACATTGCATGCAATGTCACAGGAACAAACAATTTGTTTTCAAAGGTAAATCATTATTGAAATTTCTTTTACTTATCTTAAATCAGCTCTATTGTATTGCTTATGTTGTATATTCAGCATCAAAGTAAAAGAGAAAATTAGGAAATCATGAGATATCAATTCTGAGTGCACTGGTGTAGAATAAATTCAATGTACAAGTGTAGATTTGTATATAGAACTTTGTATACAGGCTATTTTTCCAATATCCCATGGGTCCATATATAGGTCCCATTACCAATCCAGACTTTGTTCTTTATTCCAATCCAAGGTACCACCTTTCTATGCCACCGCAGCATATGCGACGCGGTGGCATATAGCGATTCACCTGTGTGTGTTGGTGTGTTTGTGTGTGTGTGTGTTTGTTATTAACCAGGTTTTCAACGAAAACCGCGTTATTGTAATGCCGAAGTCGGCGGGCGGGCGGGCGTCAACTTTTGGTTTCCGCTCAATAACTTAAGTTTGCTTTGGCCTATTGACACCAAACTTGGTGTGTAGGTAGCTTATATCAAGAGGCAGCTTGGGATTGCTACCCAGGTGTCTGTGATCAAGGTCAAGGTCACTGTTACTATAAATAGAAATTCAGTTTCCGCTCAATAACTTGAGTTTGCTTTGGCCTATTGACACCAAACTTGGTGTATGGATAGCTTATATCAAGAGGCAGCTTGGGATTGCTACCCAGGTGTCTGTGATCAAGGTCAAGGTCACTGTTACTAAAAATAGAAATTCAGTTTCTGCTCAATAACTTTGGTTTGCTTTGGCCTATTGACACCAAACTTGGTGTATGGATAGCTTATATCAAGAGGCAGCTTGGGATTGGTACCAAGGTGTCTGTGATCAAGGTCAAGGTCACTGTTACTAAAAATAGAAATTCAGTTTCCGCTCAATAACTTGAGATTGCTTTGGCCTATTCACACCAAACTTGGTGTATGGATAGCTTATATCAAGAGGCAGCTTGGCATTGGTACCAAGGTGTCTGTGATCTAGGTCAAGGTCACTGTTACTAAAAATAGAAATTCAGTTTCCGCTCAATAACTTGAGTTTGCTTTGGCCTATTGACACCAAACTTGGTGTATGGATAGCTTATATCAAGAGGCAGCTTGGGATTGGTACCCAGGTGTCTGTGATCTAGGTCAATGTCACTGTTACTAAAAATAGAAATTCAGTTTCTGCTCAATAACTTGAGATTGCTTTGGCCTATTCACACCAAACTTGGTGTATGGATAGCTTATATCAAGAGGCAGCTTGGGATTGCTACCCAGGTGTCTGTGATCAAGGTCAATGTCACTGTTACTAAAAATAGAAATTCAGTTTCTGCTCAAAAACTTGAGATTGCTTTGCCCTATTGACACCAAACTTGATGAATGGGTAGCTTATATCAAGAGGCAGCTTGGGATTGGTTCCCAGGTGTCTGTGATCAAGGTTAATGCATTTAGTTTTCATGTTATAACTTGAGTTTGCTTTGACCTTTTGACACTGAACTTGCTGAATGGCAGCTTTGGATTGCCACTTAGATATCTGGGTACAAGGTCAAGGTAATTTGCTTACAATAGAATTTTCAGTATCTACTCAATAACTTCAGTGCACTTTGACCTATTGATTGTTGTCACATCAAAACTTGGTCGTTGAAAACCTGGTTTTCGTCGCATTGCGGCGCTTCTTGTATAGATTATATAGTGAACTTAAAAAATCTTCTTGTGAAAAACCACTAGTCCAATTTCAACCAAACTTGGCAGGATTGTTCCTTGGGTGAAGGGCTTCCAAAATTGTTCAAAGAATTTCATTCCATGCAGAAATCTGGTTGCCATGGCAACCAAAAGGAATAATAAGAATAAATTAAAAAAATCTCAGACCCTTAAAAAATCTCAGACCCTTACCAAGATTGTTCAAATTATAGCCCTTGGGTCAAATTCGGCCCCGCCCCGGGGTCATTGATTTTCGCTATATGTACATATAGTAAAATCTTTAAACACCTTCTTGTAAAGACCCAAAAGGCATAGAGCTTAGATATTTTCCATAAGGCATTGTCTGGTAGACCTCTATCCAGATTGTTCAAATTTTAGCCCTGGGGTCAAAATCGGCCCCGCCCCAGGGGTCATTGGTTTTCCTTTTATGTAAATAGTAAAAACTTCAAAAAAATTCTTCTAGCAATTGACCAATGCTAGAGGTTAGTTATTTTGCATGAAACATTATGTTGTAAACCTCTAGCAAGATTGTTCAAATTATAGCCCTGGGGTCAAAATTGCCCCCGCCCTGGGGGTCATTGATTTCAATTTATACATATAGTAAAAAATGAAAAAATCTTATTGTCTGAAGGTACAAGGCTTAGAGCTTTAATATTTGTTAAATAATATCATCTAAAGGTACTGTACCAAAGTTGTTCAAATTTTGCCTCTTGTGTCAAAATTAGCCCTGCCCCTGGGGGCCATAGGTTTTTCTTATATGTATATAGTAAAAACTTAAAAAATCATCTTCTCTAAATTTACAAAGGATAGAGTAAAGAGATTTTGCATGAAACATTGTGTAGTGAACCGCTAGCAAGATTGTTCAAATTATAGCCCTGGGGTCAAAATTGGTTCCGCCCCGGGGGTCATTGATTTTCATTATGTACATAAAGTCAAAAATTGGCCCTGCCCGGGTGTAAAAAGTCCATGCTTTTCCAGGGATTTCCATGGAAAATAAGAGGCTGGAGTATTGGAACAAAATTTTCCAGCCTTTTCCAGCCTGAAGCTGAGAAAAAATGGGCTGGAAAAACAGGGAACATTTTCCATGCTGCATGGAATATTTTCCATGTTTTCCATGGAAAAGCATGGACTTTATTCCATGCTTTTCCATGTACATGGAGTATTGGAACAAAAGTATGGATTTTTTTCCAGGGTATTCCATGTGACTGCCAACCATAGAGACTGGACTTTTTACCATGGTAAATAGTCCAGCCTTGATGGAATAACATGGAAAAAAATCCAGCCTAATTCCAGCATCCCTGAATGTTTTTAAATTTTAAAATTCTCTGACGGAATTCAGCACAGGAATATTTGGGGTGGAATTTTTATTAGTTTAACATGATCACATATTTCTTTCACAAAATTTAATACATATCCTTTAGTCCAAATACAGAATAGAACATCCTACATTCACTATGGCACAAACAGTTTTTTTTCTAGCTGCAGGTTTGGTAGCTAGGTTCTGGTTGTCTTATAAATTTTAGCAATTATTTTGCTCTTACATGTAATCTGTCAATGAGAAACTGTTTTAATCTTAAATTTGTTTCAAGTGCTTCTGATTATTTAAATTACTATTTCTTTTATTGATGTCCATTTTCAGTCCTCTGCCTGTGTTTCCTAGAACTTTTTGTGGTTGTGCTCACCTTTAAAGATAAAATTCATAATAAATTTAACACAGATGTGGTAATGACTTATGTTTTATTGCATATAAATATTATACAGTTATATTTCGTATCTTTTAATAACATCAAATCTAATGTTTCAAATGTATTAACTATTAAATATTAACTATGCTTATGCATATTCAAAAATACTAAAGCAATGCAGTATATCTTATTTCAAAGTGCACAAGTGTTTAAGAATTTCTCTGTACATGTATAAGAATTAAGTAAATATGTGTGACAATATTTATCACCCAGTATGTATTTTTTCAAGAAAAGACATGGAATAAAAAAGTACACGTATTGAGATTTAAAAATATACCTTTTCAGGATTAATACTGCACATCATTATTAAACACTGTTGGTAATTCTCACAGTCACCACTTATGTCCCAGCCTGCAAGTTATGTAATTGTATAATGTAAAATGTTATTTTAGATTGTTCCATTGAAAACACAACACATACATGTAAATATAACAAATGATTATGATGACCCTGTTCAGCTGTACAAAACTACTGATTGTACCATTTAGTCCTATTTAATCAAATTGATTTAATTTGTTTTATTTGTAGGAAATGAAAAAGATCTACTAACAATTGTCATTTTAACAATATACATTATAAAGAAATCATTGAATAATTTATATTTTACAATATATTATACATGTATAGATTAAAAACAATTATCAGAAAAAACAAATGCATGAAGTTGAAAATATAAAAACAACCTTGATCTTGTGTTACAAATGTTGATAGTTTGATATATAATCTGTTTCTGCATGAGGGACAGTTTGATAGTTTGATATATAACCTGTTTCTGCATGAGGGACAGTAGTGAATAACCTCCCCTGAGTACTCCCTATAAATAGATAAGTCCTAAGCTATTGGATTACTCGGACTTTATCGCCTATTTCTTTGTAGCAAACTGAATTAATTAGGCCTAATTATGATCATTTGTAATATTCAGATTAGATATTGCGATAAGATGTAGAATCTGTTGACATAAATTAATCATTTTTGTATACATTGCTTGCAATGTATACAGAGTTATAAGCTATATCTCAGAAAAGATACAGGTTTAATGCATTACCGAACAACATCCACTCCCGGATAAAAACCGCTATAGAAACTAGTTCTTCATTCTGCAGTAGCGTTACATTCCGACTACACATCATTATAATAGTGTTTTGCAAAGTTGTTTAAATGCTTTGAAATTTCCAAATCGTTCATTTTCATGAAATAATAGACTCTACATTCCTTTAAAGAAAACAAAAATTAACTGTTCATTGATAAAATCGTAGTTTATACCTACGCGTTAAACTTCGCATATACGCATGCGCTTGCTAGCATGAATGAATACATCGTAAATATAGTAAAGTCGCCAGCGCTTATGCTAAAACAATACAAAATAAGCTTTTTTTAAACCGCTAGTGTGTTGTGATTAAATGTCCGATTTTAAAATGTATTACACCAATAGAAAGCTTTGGATCTTAGCTTCATCACAATATAAAACTTCAATACATCTTTTGACTCCAAAGTATTTAAATTAACTGTTTAAACCTACCATATTTGTCAGACCATTTTACATGCGATTTATACAGTGAGATACGCAATGATAAGAATA